CTCCGTCGAGACCCAGTATGAGATCTGGTCAGTACCTTGAACTGTGGTATGATGCAGTGCAGTGCGGTGCTGAGCAGTGCATTGCTGTGCTGTAGTGCGTGATCTGGGTTGCAGTGCAGCCAGGGCTGTCCCACCATAATTCCCTTGGACTCTGGAACCCACAGGCCAACGCCACAGGACCAACACGATCGACAGGTGCCTCACGAGGGCCAACATGTTTGCGTGCATCTTCGGTTTCTTCTTCACCAACCGCGTCGTGCTCTGGTCACAATACCACGCTTCCTTCCCTCTCCACCCTCCCACCCCCTCCCTCACTCTTCAACACACTCCCAGGACCAACACTATCGGCCAATGGCTCACCCGAGGCAACATGTTTGCGCGCAACTTCAGATTCTTCTTCACCAATCGCGTGGTGCTCTGGTCACAATACCACGCGTCCCTCCCTCTCCACCCTCCCACCCCCTCCCTCACTCCTCAACACACTCCCAGGACCAACACTATCCGCCGATGGCTCACCCGAGCCAACATGTTTGCGCGCATCTTCAGATTCTTCTTCACCAATCGCGTGGTGCTCTGGTCACAATACAACGCTTCCCTCCCTCTCCACCCTCCCACCCCCTCCCTCACTCCTCAACACACTCTCAGGACCAACACCATTGGTCGATGGCTCACCCGAGCCAACATGTTTGCGCGCATCTTCGGGTTCTTCTTCACCAACCGCGTGGTGCTCTGGTTTTGCGCCGGCATCGCCCGCGGGCAGCTGCGCCTCATCCGCAAGGAGGACAACGTGTACCGCTACGTTGTTCGCTGCCTCGACTCCGTGGCAGAGACAACCTCCCTGCGCGACAGGTATGTGAAGTGTACGGATGAGGGGAAGGGTACAGGCAGGGAGAGCAAGGGCCAGCTCCACCTCATCCGCAAGGAGGACAACGTGTACCGCTACGTTGTTCGCTGCCTCGACTCCGTGGCAGAGACAACCTTCCTGCGCGACAGGTATGTGAATTGTATGGATGAGGGGCAGGAAGGCAGAGCATCGCCCGTGGCCAGCTGCGCCTCATTCGCAAGGAGGACAACGTGTACCGCTACGTTGTTCGCTGCCTCGACTCCGTGGCAGAGACAACCTCCCTGCGCGACAGGTATGTGAATTGTATGGATGAGGGGCAGGAAGGCAGAGCATCGCCCGTGGCCAGCTGCGCCTCATTCGCAAGGACGACAACGTGTACCGCTACATTGTTCGCTGCCTGGATTCCGTGGCAGAGACAACCTCCCTGCGCGACAGGTATGTGAATTGTATGGATGAGGGGCAGGAAGGCAGAGCATCGCCCGTGGCCAGCTGCGCCTCATTCGCAAGGACGACAACGTGTACCGCTACGTTGTTCGCTGCCTCGACTCCGTGGCAGAGACAACCTCCCTGCGCGACAGGTATGTGAATTGTATGGATGAGGGGCAGGAAGGCAGAGCATCGCCCGTGGCCAGCTGCGCCTCATTCGCAAGGAGGACAACGTGTACCGCTACGTTGTTCGCTGCCTCGACTCCGTGGCAGAGACAACCTCCCTGCGCGACAGGTATGTGAATTGTATGGATGAGGGGCAGGAAGGCAGAGCATCGCCCGTGGCCAGCTGCGCCTCATTCGCAAGGAGGACAACGTGTACCGCTACGCCGTGCGCTGCTTGGACTCTGTTGCAGAGACCACGTCCCTTCGTGACAGGTAAGGCTCCTGGCTAATGCGTATGGTGCAGATGCACAAGGGTGGGGAGAGCAGGGGTTAGTTGCGCCTCATCCGCAAGGAGGACAATGTCTACCGCTACGTCGTGCGCTGCTTGGATTCAGTGGCCGAGACAACCTCCCTGCGTGACAGGTGAGGGCCATGTCCGGCCTTGTGGGAAGTGTATGGCTATGGTGCATGGGGCAGGAGGGTGGGGGAGAGCAGGGGACAGCTGCACCTCACCCGCAAGGAGGACAACGTGTACCACTATCGTACACTGTGCTGCGCACCGCTTGGGAATGCTTAGCTGAAACCTTATTTTCTGGTCCTTTTCTCCTCCTTTCTCCCCATCCCCCCCTCCCCCCCCCCCCCCCCCCCTCCCCCACACACAGCAACTACTTCTACCGCTGCTGCCTGACGGGGCAGTTCTCGCGCAACTGCTGCCCGCGCTTCCTGCAGGAGCCCTGCTTCAACAAGCTCAAGGTGGGTACGGGGCGCAGGGCTAGGGGTGACTCCCATGTGCTAGGTAAGTCAGGCAGGAGCAACTGCTGTGCTGCCCGCGCTTCCTGCAGGAGCCCTGCTTCAACAAGCTTAAGGTGGGTACGGGGCGCGGGGCTAGTGGTGACTGCTAGGGGTTTGACTCTCAAGGGCTAGGTAGTCAGGCACATGCAACTGCTGGGGCGCAACTGCCGTCGGCGCTTCCTGCATGAGCCCTGCTTCAACAAGCTTAAGGTGGGTACGGGGCGCGGGGCTAGTGGTGACTGCCAGGGGTTTGACTCTCAAGGGCTAGGTAGTCAGGCACGTGCAACTGCTGGGGCGCAACTGCCGTCGGCGCTTCCTGCAGGAGCCCTGCTTCAACAAGCTCAAGGTGGGTACGGGCTAGAGGCCTTATGTGGGGGGCGCAGGGCTTGGGATGACTCTCACGTGCTAGGTAAGTCAGGCAGGAGCAACTGCTGTGCTGCCCACGCTTTCTGCAGGGGCCCTGCTTCGACAAGCTCAAGGTGGATACGGGCACAGGGCTACTGGTCGCGGGGAATGGGGGCAAAGGCATGACGTGGTGGGAGTAGAGTGGGTCTATAAGGAGAGGCTTGTGTTTGTGGTGAGAGAGCAGCACTTGCCTCCCTCCTGCTCGTTCACTCTCAGGCGACCAGAACAAGGGCCCTTCACCAGGCTCCCCTCCTACTGATCTTCATCCCTCATCTTGCATGCGTTCCAAACCTCGGCCCTAGTTTTCCCCTCCTCGTTCCTCTCTGCCCTCTACTACCTTTCACCTCTCACGTTTGCCCCCTTGTGGTTCTTGTCTTGTCCCCCATTGCCCCCCCTCTCCTGCCTCTTCCCGTCTCTTGTGTGACAGACGGAGCTCGCCGCCCGGGACTGCATGCTCATCTCGACGTCCTACTTTGTGGAAGAGCTGCGAGCACGCATGTACACCAAGGTCATCCTGATGGACCACGTTGATTGGCTAGGGCAGCGTGACATTGATACGCTGTGCCAAGCACTCAAGGACCAAGTCAAGGTGAGTGCCGGCAGCAATGTGGTCGGCACTGTGTAAGGTTGCGAGTGCAGTGAACCATAAGCCCAGTCTTTGGCTTGTGAGGCACAACCTCCCCACCCCGTGTCCCAGCACTCTCCCTGCGGCAGCATGCTTGTTCCTTCCAAGTGCGTATGTCTTGAAGATCACTGTTTGCAGCACAGTGCATCTCTCTTCTGTTGGACCTATCTATTGTTCCTCTTTCCACGGAGGCCTGCGTCCTGAAGGCTGTGTCATTCATATGGCGCACTGCATCCCTCCCTCTTGTTCATCCCTTACCTCTTCTTTCTCCCCGTTCCTTGTTTTTCTCCCCACCATTGCAGCCCGGAGGTCGTGTCATCTGGCGCAGCGCGTCGCGCAACCCCGAGTATGCCAAGGACATTGAGAAGGCCGGATTCAAGGGTAAGAGCTGGAGAGTGCTGTCTTGGAGTATGACTTTTGAGAGAGCTGACTGGGATGACAAGGCAGCTGAACCAAGATCATGGAGTGAAACAACTGTTCAAGAAGTTTCTTTCTTCCTCCAGCACTTCATTAACAGCCCCACAAAGTTCCCCCTCTTTCCTCTGTCCCCACCCTCCCATCACCCATCCCCAATCCCATCCTTTCCCGACTTTCTCAGTTTTCCCCCTCGTTATCATCTAATGTTTGCCTTACTCCCGCCCTTCCATGGCAGTGGTGCAAGTGCGCTCCATCACACAGCAGCAGTACATGGACCGGGTCAACATGTACGCCAGCTTCTACGTCGCCATCCGCAACGGAGGCCCCGAGAACATTCAGATCTTCAATGAGCCGCCCAACCCTCTTGCCCTCACCAACGGCACCGATGCTGCTGCCCCTGCCGCTAGCTCCTGAATCTTGGATGAAGCTTCTCGCTTTCGACTCAATTTCAAGGCTGAGAAATGCGGAGTTCTAGGAAGTGTCAGCTGTATTGTAAACGCGCATACCGTGGATGTATTTCTCTAGGTTTGAACAAGACTGTACTATCACAATCAAGAATTATCGTTCTAGAGTAGCCTTATTCAAGAAGTGAGAACTGTCAAACAGCAGCAACCATACGTGGTCACTGTGTATACCCTCCTGGGACTGTACGCATACTGCATCATTGCGAGCAATCCATGCCACGACCCAGAAGCGAAGGAAAGGGGGGGTGATGCTCCTAAGTTGCAGCCATTTGAGATTTCGAGCGTGCCGAAATCCAATTCGTCAATCAAATTGGTTCGTCGCACATGTCTCGACCACGTCGTCATTTTCAAAATGATCCAACCAATCAGTGATTTAAGAAGACCGCACATCATTGAACATAGTTGCGCTTCGACACGTCACAGTCGTTCACGAACTTCGCAAAGATTTTGATAGGCGCGACATAGCGGCTTGGACTTTTTTCCCACCCACGGGCGAGTGCGGGAAGCTTTGCTGCTGTATTCCTCCTGTCTCACGGGCAAAGGAATTCGCCCCACTGACGATGCACCAGCAACACCTGTCCATTTTTAGTTCTCTCCATACTTCAACATTGACGATTGCGCATTCACCTCAAACATTCAGCTCAACGCCGGTACAATAGCTTCTATAGTAGTTGTCTTACAAAAGCAATATCCGAGACCCTCCGGCTTCTGAAAGTGGTGCCGCTGATCTCCCCCTTGATTCTCAAACATGTCGCTCGCTCTCCACCCAGCTTCTGCTCTGCTCGGAAGCTCCGCCAGCTCGACGATTTCGCTTATTGGGGAACGGAGCCTTGCCGCTAATCGCTCGTTCCCCGCTGCTGCCATGCCTTTCGTCCGCTGTCAAGCGCCGTCCTCCGTAGTCGCGTCACCTCCCACCGTCGCACAACCGCCCACCATCGCACGACCACCCACCGTCGCACGACCGGCTACCGTCAAACCAGCACGACCGGGTACCGTCAAACCAGCGCCTACCGCGTCGTCATCGCCCACCGTCGCGCCGTCGTCCACCGCCTCGCCGCCAACCTCGGTCACCATGGTCGCTGTATCGACGCCGTCTTCCACGCGACGCGCCGAACGGGTGGAGCCAACCTCCGAGTCGCCATCGTCCGCAATCTCGCCGTCGTCCTCCGCGGTCCCTGCGCCCCGCATCAAGCAACACAGTGCGTAAAGTTTCAAACCTCGTTATTTAGCGTTATTGACCGCGGTCAGTACTTTCGTCCATTGCCCCGTTAGCAACTCCCGCCGTCGTTGCTTACATTTCTTATCACTTCATGCAGAAAAAACATCTTCATCCGCGCGCCGCCGGAACGCAACCGCTAACTTCGCTCCGCCGCCGGCCGCGCTGCGGTCCGGAGCGGCGATGGCGGACTTCCTCATGTCGTACAGCCGCATGCTTCACCTCATGCCCGGCGGTAGCCGCGATCTCGTCGCCGCAGGTGCCGGCGTCTTGGCGCACGTGCTCGAGTCGCTGCGGACCCTGCTCGATACGAACCAAGTACGTGTTTTCGCGCTCGGTACGATAACTATGTGACGTTTAGCTGTTATCGGGAATCTCCGGTGACGTTCCTGTGAATGTTGTTTCGCGGGTTGCTTGAAATTCACCCTCCCGATACTTCTATTCTGATTTGCTATGCTCTACAGGTGAAGGGCGTGGAGGCCGAGCGGTTGCTATTCGAGGTGGAGAGGGATTTGGGCCGTCTGCAGTTCGAACTTGCCGTAGCGCCCGAGGCCTTCCCCGTGCAGACAGTGCGCTTGCAGTGCGCGCACGCTGCCCGCGTCCTCCGCTCTGTTTGAAGTAGACGGAGGATGCGTTCGCGAGCTAGGGGAAAGCGGAATGCAAGAATTTGTGGAATAATCGTCCCGAGTTTGTGTACAAATTATTATGTACATACCTGTAAAATTATGTTGGTCATAGTGAATGTTTTACAGAGGTATCCCTTACATTCGAATTTGACCGCTGACTTGACATTCGATATATTTTCGCCATAACAACTAAGCTGTCAATACCTGGAAACTAGTTGTGTAGTTCATCAGAAGTGTAAACAATATTTCATAAATCGTACAATTAACAATAAACAAATTAAACGCCCTACTCTGATGATTAACAGAATTGCTGGACTAAGGGTACATTCCGCTGTGGACATGCGTCCCAATCGATGTGTCCCAATCGGGTGTACCGCTCCGAACCGCACTAAACCAGAGAAGCGAAAATTTTGAAACTAGGGTGTAATTCGGTGTAATAAGATGCAGTGCGGTAGAATCGATTGGGACACATCGATTGGGACGCATGTCCACAGCGGAATGTACCCTAAGCTGACAGATAGCGTAATTACCCTGTTACAAACCCCTCGAGGTCAAGTCGAGGATCCCCCTCCTCGATCATGTCATCCTCGTTCATCAGAAACCCAAACTCGTTCTCTTTCTTGCTCGCTGCCCCTGAGCTGCGTCTCAACCGAGAGTTCTCCTCCTCATTGATGCTTGACGCCCTCCGTGACAGCGGCTCACCCTCCGACCCACTCCCTCTCACACCGACCCCCTCTCCTCCCTTGCTGCTGCTTCGAGAAAGCGACGACGAACTGGTTTTCTTAACTGGAACAGGGTCGTACGAGCTCGAGGGTTCCCCAGAGGGAGAATCCAGGATAGCTGCATTTGGATCGTCCATGTCATGCCGAATGCTCACTACCGTCTCTCCCTTGATTCGTGAGGCGGCGGCAGCAGCAGCAGCGGCCGCTGCAGCAGCTGCAGCTGCGGCTGCTGCCGCTGCCGCTGCTGCTGCTGCTGCTGGTGCAGGTATCGGTAGATTCAGCCGTGCTTGCTGCTGCAGCAGCACCAGCAGACCCTCCAGCTGCCACCCCACTTGTCAACCCAGCGGCAGAGGCGTCAGCTGCTGTAGCAGACCCACCAGCGGCGCCTGTAGCAGCAGCTGTAGCAGCACCGGCGGCGCCAGCAGCAGCAACAGGGGTGATGGAGGCGAATAGGTTGGCAAAGCGGCGCTCTGAGGCAGTGGCCTCAGCTGTGAGGAGTCCTGTGCGTCCTGAGCTGAAGGTCTGCCCCATGCGTCGCGCATTCTCCATCTCCTTGCCTGCAGGGTAGAGGAAATTGGGAGTGGGAGAGGTGGGAGGGAAAAGGGATGAGCTCAGCACTTTGTGCGTAGTCCCGTGCGTCCTGAGCTGAAGCTCTGCCCCATGCGACGTGCGTTCTCCATCTCCTTGCCTGAGGGGCGCGGGCAGATTTGAGGTGGATGGAGGTGGGGAGATGAAGGTCGGAAAGGTGAGCGGGAGGCCAGGTGAGGTCTATACGAATGAAATATGGAAGGGGGCGAGCACAGGAAAGAGGGCTTTAGAAAAAAGTGGAAAGCGACTAATCAACAAGGGAACTCTTTACAGCCAATGAATTACTGAAACGAAGCATACCTGCTGGAACAAAGGTGCGGGTGCGGTAGTGCTGCGGCTTGTCCTGAGACCCATCGCTGTACAGCACATAGTCATGGTACGTGGGGGCGAACTGGTGCACCGTGTCGCTCACCACATCCCCCATATTGACAGAATGCTTAAACGCCGCAATCAGCGCGCCCTTCTGCTCCTCGCTCATGTTTGCCAGACCCAGCCCTGCAAGCCCGAACCCCTGAAAATCCATCGGTCCGGCCCCTGACGTGCCCACGTTCGCGACCATGTAGGGTTTGACGGGGAATGCGATCATGAAGCCGATGGCTCCTAGCGCCATCTCGCAGCAGATGATCACGTTTTGCAGGTCCGCTGCTCCCTCTGGACTGGCTGTGAAGTGGGCGATGAGGAAAATGATGACTCCCTGAAGGAGAGGGATTTGGAAGGGGGCGTGACGGAGGGGAAAGGGGAAAATGTGGATGGGGAAAATGATGATTAGCTGACTGCAAAATTGGCGATGAGAAAGATGATGACTCCCTGAACGAGAGGGATTTGGGAGGGGTTGTGCAGGAAGGGAAAGGGGTTGTGCGGGAGGGGGGGGGGAATGCGTATGGGGGAATGCGTATGGGGGAAATAATGGTTAACTGACTGCAAAATGGGGGGATGACTGAATGAGAGGGATTTGGAAGGGGACGCGCAGGGGGGAAGGGGACAAGGCGGATGGGGAAGATAAAGGTTAGTCGGGTATGAAACGCGCAACGGGTAGGGTGAGGATGCTTTGAACGAGAGGGATATGAAGGGGTGTTGAGGGAGGGGAAGGGGAAACGGGGATGGGGGAACGATAGCTCCTCAGCTGTGATTTGAGCGATAAGAAATGATGATTCGTCAGTAGCAAAAGCAAAAGAGGGAAAGAGGAGGGTGGGGTTTTCTGAAGTGGGAGGCAGAAGAGGGAGAGGTAGGGGTGAGGAATGTTCGGCATACCTGCCAGTAGGTGAGGAAGACGACGGCCTTGATCATGAGGAACTTGGGGATGGGGTTGAAGGAGTGTAGCAGGTCCTTGCAGGCGACGTAGAAGAGGATGAGTGCGTAGATGGCCACGGAGTAGGAGAGCATGTACACGCACGTGATGTACAGGTACGAGTCAAACGCGCTGAAGTTGCCGTCGTTGTACAGGCCGTACGAGTAGAGGATGAGGGAGAGCGCGGCGAGGATGGGCTTGAGGAACACGAACTGCAGGCAGCCCTGCTTGCAGCGCCGGATGAATCGGCTGGAGGGAGAGGACGGGGAGAAGGCGGGTGGGGAAGGGGGGTGGGAAGGAGAGTGAGTGGGAGTAGGAGGGCATGTAGACGCACGTGATGTACAGGTATGACGAGTCAAACGCGCTGAAGTTGCCGTCGTTGTACAGGCCGTAGGAATAGAGGATGAGGGAGAGCGCGGCGAGGATGGGCTTGAGGAACACGAACTGCAGGCAGCCCTGCTTGCAGCGGCGGATGAATCGGCTGAAAGGGGGGAGGAGGAAAGGGTGGGAGAAGTGTGGGTGCGGGATTTCTGAGTCGATTCAGAAGGCACCTCGGAGACCGGGAAGGGAGACAGGAGATGAGCCGGTGCTCATCCGAGTGTGGTTGAGAGCGAACTGGTGGTGGGGGAAGGGATGCTTCGGCGCGGGTGTAGGGCGAGACGAAAGAGGTAAATGCTACGGTTGCACAAAAGAAGTCCATCCGAATCAGCTTATGGCCACATGAAGAGCTGAAGTGCACAAAGCTCCAGTGCAGAAAGGCTACTAATACAGGTTACCCGCGCGTTACCGTGCAGCTTACCCGTCGAGCGGCATGGGAGGCAAGCAACAAGTGCCGAGGACGATGGACGGCTTGAGCACGCGACCAGCGAGCGACGTCACGACCACTCCGGGACCCCCCACCCACGCCAGACACAGCGACAAGAAGTTGTAAATCACCCACGCTTCATACCTGGGATTGGTTATAAAGGGTGTAACATAGAGTCACAGGGAAAGTTATGGTTTGAGAAAACGAAAAACGGCGTGAAATCGGAGGAACCTTTGGGATGAACAAAGATCCCTGCAGTAACTTCTACTTACACGTCTCGAATGGTGTTGAAATACATCGCGTACTCGCTAAAAGCTAGCGCGAAGAATGACATGGTAGCATACACCTGCGGGATTCAACCAAAGCCCCAATGATTAAGCCGTTAGCACGAGGCAGGAACGGTATGAATAGAGTAGTTTGAAAAGTAGCTTAAATGAATCTGCCACGGGAACCAATCCCTTCACAAAAATGAAGATTCCATAACCCGACATGCTGGAATGAGCTGGAATCAACAAGGCACAGCGTTTGCCAAAACTTACCGGGACCATGAAAATGATGCGGACGATGTACCGTTGAAACGTCGGCTCCGTATAATTTTGTAGATGTTGGATTATATGCCGTACGGACAAAAACACAGCTACGAGGGTGCATACTAGGGCTATAATTACCCCAACGAACCATAGTACCCAATCCATAGCCCCCAACTAGAACAGAGTGATGGAGGGGAATTAGGATGATTGGATGAACAAGAAATGTCCTATGCTAGCCCTAATACGGTGGGCCGACAATGGCGAACACTGCTCGAAACTAGGATGCACACTCTATCGTAAGTTCATCCGAAACTCGCACAACCTAAGAGAATCCTTGAAGTATCAGATTCGGGTGCCTGCGGTTATCAGCTCCCACGCGTGTCAGACCACTCGAGTGAAGCAAAACGAGACCTAAGCTACAGATACGAACGCAACTTATTTGCGAATGTAGTGACGTCTAACTGGCCTCTTTAACTGGCCTTAGGGTCCGGCAACAAAGACAGGAAGTGATGATCTCACGAGGATGAGGTATTAACTTGGAGGAACTAGAGATTCAGGCAAGACTGACAGATGCAGCTGAAAGCAGCAAGAGGAGGAACACAAGGAGGCGGTGGGAAAGCGCGTGGGGGAGGGAGGGACGTGAGAAAGGAACCCGAGAAGATGGGGATTTGAGTGACAACACCAGAAAGCTGCAGGCGACACGTCCGAGGCTCGTCCGAGGCACTTCCGAAGCTCCCCCTGGGCTAATCTCAACGGTCCCTCGGGCTTGTCGAGGCAAAATTGAGGTTCCGGTGAGCGCGGTGTGACAGGCGCACGCGGTGAGGTGAGTTGCGGCGATTGACGGGATGAAGAAACAAGCGGAGCTCAAATGCTCGTAACCCTAAACAATTATTGCGAACGAATCGCGAAGCTGTAACAATTCGCTGAATCTGATGAACACTTCACGAAATGTCGACTGCAGAAGTGGGCACAGGAAAGCAACGGCCAGATGTGGAGCGATACGCTTCATCCAAACCAAGCAGGGGTGGGTGGTTGTTGGCATTGTTTCGTGTGGCCTCCGAACGGCGAACCTAGGTAGCACCGCCACAAGCCTAGCAAGGGTACCGTTGTGTTCCATGTTCACTTTAAAATACCTCGATTGCGGCGCGAGTGGGGTTCAAAGTGTTTCTGAATCTGCGCAGTACATTTACAAGCAGCCACGAACAAGCAGAAGTAATCCATCTAGTTTTCATCACAATACAAATATATCCGTCAACAACTTGATTTCTATATGTTAGAGTTTATTTCTATGCATTTGCTTCCAAATAATTTACCATGACAAGATGGGATTTGTGCCGAATATGTTGTATGAAATGCGTGTGTTTACTTGTGACAAGCAATCGTGTGGGAAGCCTCTGAATCGAAGAGGAGCTTTAGCGAATCTCCCGTGGACATGTTTCTAAACCAGAGCAACTATGCTCCACGTCGGCCCACACCCCACAGCCACGTAAGTGCCGCTTCGCCAGGATGGCAGCAGAAATCCACCAAGCCTAGAATTGTGAATTTTCAATGTGCAGCCAACTTGCCTACGGACTCGCTTGTCCGCTGAGTTATTTTCGGCGATATTCAATCAATCGGTGCTGGAAGCAAATTCTTGCAACCCCAGCCCTGACCCTGAACTTGTGCATCCACTCCCTCCTTGTCTGTCTGCAGGTGCACAGATACACATGAAGATTTTCACTTCCCACGAAAATACCGCTTCGCATCGCGCCGCTGTGTCCTTGTCACGTTCATTCACCTTCCGTTATTCCCAGCTGCACCTCTCTCTCCTTTCCGCCGCACTCTTGCGAGTCGCTTAGCTCTCGGCCTTTGCGCTTGACTCAATAAAAAGAGGCTCACCTTTCTATTATCCATAGCCGAAAATCGCTCTCCTACTCCCAGATATTTTCCGCTCCTTTTCTAGCATCACTTCGTGACACATCTGCGCAATCAACCGTCATTCTACGACATGGCTCTCTCGTGCAACCAAGCTGCTATCCTGTCCTCCGCCGTTCTCTGCAGAGGCCTGACCACCGCCTCTCCTGCGTCGCAGCTGAAATCCCGGACGCTCACTGCACGTCTCCCCGCTGTCAGGGCTGAAGCTGTACCCGCCGCCGTCAACAGACCCGAGTCGGATGCCCCCGCCACTCCCGTGCTGCCCTCCGGCGCATCCATGGCGGATTTCCTCGTCACTTTCAGCCGCACGCTGAACCACGCTCCGGGGAACGGCAAGAGCATCGCTGGTGCGGGCCGGGCTCTTCTCTCCCGCGTGCGGAGCGGGATTAGCGATCTTGGCATGGATGGCGACGTGGAGTCGCAGGTGCGGCGACAGCTGCGCGTCGCAGAGGCCGAGCGACTGCTTCTGGCGATTGAGAGCAACCTTGTGGATATCGCCGTCGACTCGTCAGTGGACTCGAACAGCGTTCCCGTGCAGCTGCTTCGCATGCACTGCGCCCAGGCGGCCAGGATTCTTAGAGTGCTGTAGAGAGACCGACATCGCTGCTTGTACTTATTAGCTAGGTATTGTACCGCCCTTCACGTATGCATATGACGAGGGGCTTGGCCTTTTCAGCCTTCATGGCTGCGTTTTTGCTGATTATGGATTCGATGTTTATCCAGCCAGTTCGTACTACCTATTTGTTCCAATTGTGTCGCTAGTCCAGATTTTCAAGAACCAGAAAGTGTATTTCGCCAAGGTGAACCCAGGAAGACTCACATCACATCACATTGCTCTGTTCATTTGTCAATCCACAAGCTGGATGAACTCACCTTGTTTGTATAAAGATTACCAGTAAAGCTGAACGGCAACCGTTGCTTGCCAAAGTAGTGAATGACCTAGCCAGGGAAGTGTATTGTTGTTGCTTGCTATGCAGAAGAATACGTGTAGGATAGGACATTTTGACGTTTTTTGTTTGGAAGTTTAGCTATATTGAATAGTGAGAACGTATGGAGACCTGTTACACCATTTCAAAATGATAATCTGAAACATTGTTTTAATGCGGCACTTGTTGTGAAATTGTTGTTGGACTAAGTGTTCAGCGTTACAGCTCTGGTCCAGGTGTCGGCGAATGCGCTGAACAACCTGAAGAAACCTGAAGCATTTGCGCCTGCGATGGTGCAGGGAAGGACGCATTGTCCTTCCGAGCCAATTACGAGCGCTCACCAGGGACCAGCACTGTACCCGGGCTCCCGGTTCGTTCAAATTCCACCAATCAATCGGAGAGAAGCCCAACTGCCAAGCCGTATCAAGCGGTCGTTTGCTGCTTCGTCGAATCGAATGGTACCCTGCCACCGCCAAAATTCTCCACCGCCACCTGAGAAGCCAATCAATTTCGGCCGTCAGTGCATTTCCCGTCCCGTCTCTTGATCAGCCGTCTTCAAATTCACTGTACGGTACTTTTTCTCTCGAACTTCACCGTCGGCTGAAGTCCCAATTCCCGAATTGCTGCTGCACCACCAGCCCCAATCACCACCACACATCCACCCCTAGCACAGAAAACAAGCCGCACACATCGCTCTCGTGTTTCCAGCAACACGTGATAAGTGCATTGCTCTTCTACGATAGTGCTCCGTACCTCGTAGAAGCCGTGAGGTTCTAGCATCCCCGAGAGTGCAAATTCCCTTTCCGAGCTTTTCTGATCGAATCAATATTGCTTTCGAGCGCGTCAAATCCACCATGGTGGAACTTCAAACTCCTCGTCTCAGACATGCGACGGCTCTAGGCGTCCTCCTCCTCGTCGTATGCGTCTCCAGAATTGCGGCGTTGAGACGAGTGTTGAATGAGGCACCTCCCATCTTCGACGGCGCCACGGAGCTTCAGAAGGTTCGCGAGGCTCTTCGATCGGCGGGTTACACGGAATTCCTAGAACGGCTCAACAATCCTCGTGCGTACTACCCTTACGTCCCGCTGACCGTTCGTTCGTCCAGATTGAGAATTGCTCTTTGACCAATAAGTTCTCCACCTTGCATTTTCTTTTTGCCTTGCTTTTCGATTACAGAGGTATTAAACGTAATTCGGCCGGCGTTGAATCACTATCAGCTCACCATATTCGCCGTACCGAACCACGCCATTCTCGGCGTGGCAAACGGCACCGCCGTTCCTCCCGGCTGCGCCCGTGCCGTGTCGGCGACGAGAAGATCGGGGTCTCCTTCCGATCTGATGAGTTCCAGCATGTCTTTGCACATCGTTCTCGGTCTCTTCACAGCAGAGGACATTATTGACTCACCTGATGGCTCGAAGGTATGGAGTTTCGGCTGCATTCATAAAACATTCTGGAAATTTTGTCCTCTTCTGGTGGTTATTTACGTCCGTTTGCATTCTTACGCTTTGTGTGCTTGCAGTTTGGAGGCATCAAAGGCTACGAATCAAATTATGTGAAGAGTTTTCACACAACCAGCAGGGACAGAAAAGGCACTTTGAGAAAGCAAGTTTCGCTTACAAACCCTCACGTAGGCAGCAGACGAATCCCCCTGATCTCTCCTGATTTGTTTCTCGACCAACACGTGTCCATTCAAGGACTTGATGGCATTATGTGCGGACCAATTCCTCTAATCAGCAGCTAAGAAGGAATGCTGATCTTATAGAATGTATGAATTATGCAATTTCATTATGTATCATATTATTAAGAGGAATTTAGTAGAGGTAATAGATTGGTTTCTAATGTTATTCATTTGGCAGAACACCGAACTACACAGCTATAACGGAAAACGGAGTTTCGGGCGAGCAGAGCCTGAAAATCTTGGCTCGACTCGTTCTCGGTTCGGTTTGCCCCGTCAGCACGCTTCCACGTTTCGCGCCACTAGAACAGCAGCGAACCTAGCCCAAAAGCCATCTGCCACAGCACTGCTCTTCCGAACCTCCATCCTTCCAATCATATCCCCGGGAGGCTCATGCCAGTTCACTTATGCGCGCCAAACTTACGTAAGTTCGGACCAAACGAGGTAAACAAATCGTGCCGAAGCACAGCCTCTCGAGGTTCGTCTTTGCGGAATTCTCAAGGAAGCCTGGTTTCGGCCAATTGTGTTTCTTCTACAACACTGCCTTCAGTGAAGCCAGAGCAGGTGGATGGTATGGGTGTAAGCGGGATTCAAGATGAGTGGGGGATAAGATCCAGTTGTTTTACAGGAGGCCTTTCGAGTTCCAGATCTTGGATGCAGTAGGCAGGTTAGGTGTAGGCCCAGCCGTAGGATCTCTTAGTCGTTCATTCCTGTGTGACTAAGTCTGAGATCCCGGTTCTAGGGTCGTACCCTAGTCGTAGTCCGCTGTTGATTCTTCTAGACCATTCTCTAGCATAGTAACTCCTCTTGCTACAGAGGGTCGGTTCTTATCCGTTCGATCATGCTGGGAGACAGAAGGTGTGTGATAATTCGCGCTTTCAGCTTATGACAGTGGTGTTATACAAATTAGGGGAACTCATATTCTGTTGCATGGTGTATGCCTGCAGAGGAGCACCATCCCGGAGGGGAATGACCGTGCTCGGGAAGATTCCTGCCGTTCCAAAACCAATCAACCTTCCCAGTCAAAAGTATGACTCGAGTTTTTCGTTTCCCGCCTATCATCTTCTCTCGTGCGTTTGGATCTGACGGGCTTTCTGGTTCTACGTTGCAGGCTTGAGAACAAAGGACTCGACCCATCAGTCGCACTTGTCCCACGGTAACCCACATTCTCTGAACGATTTTTATGGTTATTTCTCTGCAGAAACTCACCTATTCACGTCTTGCATGGCAATATTCCCTTCCTTAACATTCACGTTTTTCTAATCCCGGGTTTTTTTTTTTTTCTTTTCTTTTCCAGAGGAAGCCTTACATGGGGATCCAACAAGCCCAGTTCTCCCTCTGCCTGGGCCGTCCCTGAACCCTCTCCACCCGCTCCTCCGTCCGCATGGAAGCCGCCTGGCGCAGAGCAATCCCCACCCCCTCTTTCCGTCTCCACGTGGCCTCAGCCCAATGGAAACCCATCTCCCGTCAACCGCTCCCCTGTCCCTCCGTATCCTCCGGGGCCCTCATCTCAAGGACCCCCTGGTTCCGGACCGCCAGGTCTGGGGCCTCCAGGTCCGGGAGCGTTTCCGAGCCTGACTTCTGACCGTAGGAGCCCCGTGCCTGGTGGTCCGGATTCGTCGTATCAGCATCAGCCGCAGCGGTCGCCGCACCACGAGGGGGAGCCTGGCGCATCCGGGTACCCGCAGTGGGGGGGGCAGGGGCCAGGGGCCCCGCGCGAAGGCCCGCGGGGCGGGCCGTACGTGGGGACGCCGCCAGGTGGTTCGCTGCGGAGCTCGCCTAACCCCTCTGCATGGTCGACCTCCACTGTGCGTCGCTCTCTCCGTGCCTCTCTCTTCGTCCCTTTCCTCGTCCCTCTTCTTGTCCTTCCCTTTCCCTGGCCCTTTCCCCGTCCCTATCCTCGTCCCTCTCCCTCGCCTCGTCCTTCTCCCTGTTCCGGTACTCGTCCCTCTCTCCTTGTCGACCCTCACCTGCATCGCTCCCCGCGTCCCTCTCCTGCGTCCCTCCTCCGTGTCGTTCGCCGGTTCATCTCCTTCTCATCCAATCCCCTTCTTCAAATCCGTGTCCCTGATTTCCTGGGCGCTGTTTTGAGGCGCCTTGAAACTGGATATTAATCCCGTGGGCGCTCCGCCTTACTGGGCCTCCCTTTTCTCTTCCGTTCTCTTTTGCCTCTTCTCCTCTTGCGAATCAATCCTGTTCGTTGATCCAGGACCGCCATGGCGAATCGGACGGCAAAGGAGGGCAGTTCCATTTGTCGGCGGGAGATTTTCCGTCGCTGGGGTCCGAACAGGCCAAGCAGCAGCAGCAGCAGCAGCAGGAGCAGCAGGGGCAGCAAGGCCAGCAGCAGCAACAGCAACAGCAGCAGCAGCAAGAGGGGCCGCGTCATCCGAATGAGCAGGACGGCGCGGGGTATTACCGAGGGAGGGACGACGGGCAGGAGCACGGAGAGCACGGACAGCGTGGTGAAGGTGCGTGTTGCTTGGGAAGGTGCTTGATGGGAGGGGGTTTGTGGGCGCTGGGAAGGGTTGAGGGTGTTGGGGGGGGCAGGGGGGGGTAATGTCTGACTGCAAGTGAACCAGTGAAATACAACGTGCGTGGAAGTCAACAAGTTTTTACGCATGCGAATCGAACAGTGATTGCTAATTCATGACCCCATAAAGTCCAAAGGAAGCTATAACGCGGAAACTTGAGCACTTCCAGCCGTTGCTAATGAACCTAGACGTGCTGAAACGCGTTTTTTTTTTTCTTCTTCTTCTTCTTCTTCTTCTTCTTCTTCTTCTCGCTGTGTGTGTCGCATGCTGATCGTCCTGTGTGCCTGCGCGCAGGGCCAATGGGGTGGGACCCGGGCATGGGGCGCAGGCCAGGCGCGGGACCGGATCAGATGATGCCTGCGCGCTGGCATCCGCACCCCCCCGGCCCCGGGGGCGCGGGCTTTGAGGATCCCCCTCCGCACGGCCTGTGGCCCGGGCACAGGGCGGACCGTATGCCTCCCCCTCCTGGGGACACGTGGCACCGCGGCGGCCCTGATGGTGACACGTGGCGTCATGGATCTGGTGGGGGCGGCGGGGATGGGGGTGGCGGAGGTGGAGGCGGAGGAGGAGGGACGTCGTGGCGGAGGGGTGAGGTTGGGGTTGGGAGGTCCCCGCCTCCGCCGGGTGCGGGCGCGGGGGGGGAGATGTGGCGGGAGAGAGGTCCGGAGAGTGAGAACTGGCGCGCGGGGGGACCAGCAGGAAGTGGACCAGGCGCGGGTGGCGCAGCTGGAGGGGGAGGGCCGGGGGAGAACTGGCGGGGGCCGCCAGGGATGGCCCCGCCGATGGGGTATGGGCGCGGGGGGGGACACCCAATGTACCGCGGATCAGAAGGCCCGGAGTTTGGGTTTGCGCATGGGGCGGGGCGGGGGGGACCTCCGCCTGGCGCAATGTACGACGGTCCCATGCGCCCGGGGATGATGCCCCCGCACGGCTACGGCATGCATATGGATCCGCGGGGAGGGGGGAGGTTCGGCGCGCGGTATGGCCCGGGACATGGGCCGGGCGCGGGGATTCCGCATGGTCCACAAGGAAGAGGCGCAGGCGCGCAGTTTGACATGCCCCCCGGAATGTTTCCCCCTCCGCCGTTTGACCATTTCCATGCGCCGCTGGGGCAGGGCCGTCCGCCTTTCCGCCCCATGGGCCCGCACGAGTTTATGGGCGCGGGGCGGGGAGGCCCGCAAGGGTTTGACGGGCGCGGAGGCATGGCGCGGGAGCATGCGGGGCGCGGGCATGGCCGTCCGCCCATGGAGCCGTACGGTCCGCGCGGAGAAATTGGCTCAGGGGATGGATGGCAGGGGCAGCCATCTGCGCCGGGGGCGGCGGACGAGGGGAAGCGGAGGGGAGGGGAATCCGGAGAGGAGCAAGAAGGTCGTGAGGGGCAGCGGAAAGGGCAGGAGCAGTCGCAGCAACAGCAGCAGCAGCAGCAGCAGTCCCCGAAGGAGCAGCAGCAGCAGCAAGCTCCGCAGGCGCATCGACCGTATCACAAGGACCACCACATTGGGATCGACTGGGCCTCTGCAGAGAGTGAAACCATGGACTTCTCAAAACCCGCGTTTGAGGATGACCAGTTTCTGGGTAGAGCACCCGAGGGGACCCCGCGCGGGGGAGATGGGGGGAAAGGGGAGCAGGGGGGCCGGGAAACTGGGAGGGGCGCGGAAAGCGCTGGAAGAACGCAGCCGGAGCAGGTGCGCATTCTGAAGCGGCCGGAAGGAGGGGCGGCGGGCGGAGAGGGGGTGGCGCAAGGGGGTAGTGCGGGCGCTGGGAGTGCAGGCAATGGGGGTGCAGGTGTGGCTGTGAGGTCTGGTGCCAGTAGAGATGCATCTGGGGAAGCGCAGTCTGCTGCAAGCGCAGGGAGGGGCGCAGAGAAGCCCAAGGCTGCTGGGTCTGTTGCACCCGGACGGATTGGGTCCGAGCAGTTAGCATCCGGACAGGTGGCATCTGCGCAGGTTGCACCTGGGCAGGGGCCAGCAGCGCAGGTGGCAGCAGGTGGGCAGACTGGTCCGAGCGCAGGGCCTGTGAGGGAGCCCCTCGCTAAGAGCCCGCGCCCGTTCAGCCGAGGCCCCCTGCGGTCGCCGCGGGAGGCGCCTCAGAGGAGGGCCTCTCCCGCTCCTGATCCCAGCGCTGCGCCTGGTTCCGCCCCCGCCGCATCTGGTTCTGCCGCTGCTGCATCTGGTTCTGCGCCTGCTGCCGCGCCTGCCACGGGCTCTTCTGCTGGTACTGCGGCGCCTGGTGGCAGTGTGGGTGAGGGAGGCTCAGCGGCGGGGGCAGGGCAGACAGTGGCGGGAAAGCAGATCCAGGCAGGTCTGCAGGCGGGGAGTACCGCGCCTCAGCAAGGCCAGGGAGCATTTGTGGGAGGTGTGCAGGGGGATGCGCAAGGAGCGGCGCAAGGGGCGCAGGGAGCAGCGCAAGGGGCGCAAGCGCCTGGATCCATGCAGGTAGCAGGGACTGCACGAGGGGATTCGAACGGCGCTGCTGCCGCCACTGCTGCTGCTGCTGCTGCCGCTGCTGCTGCTGGAGTGTCAGCCCCGCAGCAGCAGTCAGCTGGTGGTGCAGGTGCACCCGCCTCCCCGCGCCCCTCAGTCTCAGCACCCGCGCCAACCGCGCAGGAACAGGGTCCGGGGAGTGGCATTGCTGCTGCTGGCGGAGCTGGGGCGGGGCGGGGCCGCGGGCGCGGAAGAGAGCAAGGCAGGCTGAGGAGCGTGGGGGCGGGGGAGGCGGACGGGCGCTGGACCCCGGCGCGGCAGCAGGAGGAGGCTCAGGGCGCGGGGAGAGGAATGGGCGGAAGGGAGGGGCCTGTGCAGGGGCGTAGGGGGGTGATTGGAAAAGTTCCGGAGAGAGAAGAGCAGGGGCAGCAAAGAGGGGGTCCAGTGCAGGTCGGGCAGGTGGGTACTGGGGGGAGTGCGCAAGGTGGTGTGCCGGTGCAGGGAACTATGCCGGAAGCTTCTAATGCAGGGGCAGCTGCTGTTTCTGCTGCTTCAGGCTTAGCACAGAACTCTACGGAAGGGGCAGTGGGAGGTGTGGCAGTAGGGGGAGGAGGAGCAGCAGCAGGTGGAAACGTTAAGGCGGAGCCGCTACTTCCCGCGCCCACGTCCGTTCCGCGGATCATTATGGGTCCCCCAATCCCCCAGTTCCTCGCCCCTGTCGGGCCTCCCCACGGGATGCGCCATCCGCAATTCTTCCCCCACCCGCCCTTCCCCATGCAGCACAACCTTCCGCCTAACCTTCCGCCCAACATGCCCCCTAACGCTCCCCCTGGCGCGCGCCCCCCGTCCTTGCTCCCTGGACAGCAGGTGCTCCCTCTGCACCTGCTTCCGCCAGGCCATGCGCCCCCGCACCAACCTCCCCCCGGTGCCCATCCGCACGCCCATCCCCATGCGCCCCTGCTCCCCCAGCAGCAGGCGCAAGCCGCCAAAGACAGCCTTCTTGCGCTACCCGCGGGAGGGCCCGCCGGTTTCCTCGCGGGGATGCCTGCGCCAGGCGCGTGGGGGGGCCCTGGGGCACCGGGGGGACATGGGGGACAGGGGGGATTAGGGGAAGGGGCAGCTGCTGGGCAGGTAGCACTTGGACAGGCAGTGTCTGTGAATGATAGGGCCAAGGGAGGGGCTGGAACGGGATGGGACGCGGAGATGGCGGGACAAGGCGGGGCAGGGAGAGGAGCAGCAGAAGGAGGGGTGGGAAGCGGTGGAGTGGTGTCTAGTGGGGGATATGTGGAGGCAGGAAGCGTTGGCTCTGTCGGAAGCTTAAGAAAAGAAGGTGAGAAGGGGGACGTTCAGTGAGTAAATGCATCAAAGCAAGCATGTGCATGGAAAGAAGCATGTTTATCAATTTTCACCAAATAGCACGACCTCCGGATCGAGAACAGCTGAAGTTAAGAACAAATGGTGCCCGCCTTGAGAAGAGCAGCCATTTCGGGGCTCCCCTTATCATTCCCCAACCCTTTCCCATTCCCCTAGCCCTTTTCCAATTTCCCCACCCTTTTCTCATTCCCGCACCTTTTTCTCATTCCCGCACCCCTTTCTCATTCCCGCACCCCTTTCTCATTCCCGCACCCCTTTCTCATTCCCGCACCCCTTTCTCATTCCCGCACCCCTTTCTCATTCCCGCACCCCTTTCTCATTCCCGCACCCCTTTCTCATTCCCGCACCCCTTTCTCATTCCCGCACCCCTTTCTCATTCTCCCACCCTTTTCCTGTTACCCCACCCACACCATGTGTGTCTGGCTGTTAAAACCTTTTCTCCTTCACCCTTCGCGTTTTCCCCTACCCGCCACCTGCAGGCGGATCTACTACTCTTCCTCAGCCGCTCACAGCACCGCACCCAGCACCAGCATCAGTTGCCGAACCACCTGCGCCTTCCGGGCCTCATTCCGGGCCTCCACCCCCCACTGCTGCTGGGTCGATTACCGGACCTGCCGTCTCTGCTCCCGTACCTACTGACGCGAGTGCAGGAGATAAGGGGGAGGTTGGGGAAGGAGCAGGTGGGGGGAGTAGAGGGAGGGGGAGGAAGCGTGGAGGGCAGAGGAGGAAGGGCGGAAGGGGGAAAGGTGGGGCGGAAGGTGACGGTGGGGGTGGAGAGGGGGCAGTTGAGGGAGATTCGTCTGCTGTTTCTGGGAGTGGTGGTGGTAGTGGTGGGGATCAAATCACTGGTACGTCGCAGCAGCAGCAGGTGCAGCAGCCTCAGCAGCAGCATCATCAGCAGCAGCAGCAGCAGCAGCAGCATCAACAGCAGCAGCAGGCGCAGAGTTCAGGGCATGGCCAGGAACAGGGGCAAGGGCAAGGGCAAGGTCAGGGGCAGGGGCAGGTGCCGCGGCAGCAGAGGGGTGCGCGGGCGCAGGGGCAGCAACCGCAGCAAGGGCAGCACGGGCAGCATGGGCAGCAGCACGGGCAGCAGGAAAAGGGGCGGTCAGAGAGCGAGCAGCAGAGGTCTGCAGCAGCCGCAGCTGCCGCTGCTGCTGCTGCCAAGGTGGCACTCTCAGGCATGCGAGGGGGCGCTGGTAGCCGGGAAGGGGGAGCCGCGGCTGGAAGGGAGGTCAGGGAGGGAGCGGGTGGCGTTGGTGGTGCAGGAGCGGGCGAGGGGTCAACAGGGGCTGTGGCAGCAGGAGGCGCGGGAGCAGCAGGGAGTGCAGCAGCAGCAGGAGTGGGTGCAGGAGCGAGTGCAGGAGGGTCAGGTGTAGGAATTCTCGCTGGTGGAAACACAGTGGGTGGGGCAGCAACAATTGGGGCAGCGGGGGGGTCAGCAGCATGCGGGGCAGCAGCAGGCGGGGCAGCAGCAAGGGGGGCATGGCAGGGGGCGCCCGCCAGTGTCGCGGCTATAGTGAGTGGCGGCCCTGCTGCTGCCACTGCACCAGCACCAGCACCTGCAGCAGCAGCCGCACAGGGAGCAATAGCAGCAACAGCGGGAGCACCAGGGGCTACAGCAGCGGCGGCGGCAGCGGCGGCGGCGGCGGCGGCAGCGGCAGGCTCACAGGGGGGTCCTGCAGCAGTGGTAGGAGGGATGGGCCCTCCTGGTATGCTTATGAACGCATGGGGGCGGCCGAGAGAGGGGCTGATTCACATTACTCCTCCTGCTGGCCATACGGGAGCTATGCAGATGCCCATGCCTATTCCTATGCACATGCCGATGCATGTGCACTTGGGTATGGCAATGCATATGCCCTTGGGTTTCGCGTCGCAGCATCTGCAGCAGCAGCAGCAGCAGCAGCAGCAACAGCTGCAGCAACAGCAGCAACAGTTGCAGCTGCAGCAGCAGCAACAGCAGCAGCAACAGCAGCAGCAGCAGCAGCAACAGCAACAGCAGCAGCAGCAGCAGCAGCAGCAACTGCAGCAACCGTCTTCCATCACCACATCAGCACCAGCAACTGCAGGAACAGTAGTGCCACCATCAGCCCCAGCAGCATCTGCAGCATCTCAGCCCTCTCGAGCTTCTCCGCTGCTCACCCCATCGCCACCCTCAGCTGCCGCCACGTCAGCTTCTGCCAGCTCGGCTTCAGTCCAGGCTGGCTCGTCCACGTCAGCCGCTCCCGCCCGCCAGCGACGCGCTGAGATGGAAAGATACGTCCCGAAGGGAGCTGCCAAGGTTCCATCCACTGTTGCAACTCCTGCTGCTGGCACTGCTGGCGCTGCTGCTTCTGCTGCTGCTGCTGCTGCTGCTGCTGCTGCTGCTGGCGCTGGTAGTGCTGGCGTTGGTGGTGCCACTACTGCTGCTGGTGCTCCTGCCAATGGGTCTGCTCCAGCTGCTGCGTCTGCTTTTACTGCTGGTGCTGGTACTGCTGCTACTTCTATTCCTTCCTCTGCCCCGCCTGCTCCTGCTGCTTCTGACGCCAGTGCCAGCACTGCTGCTTCTGCTTCTGCTGGTGCTGTAGCTGGGTCTGCAGGGTTGAAGGGGCAGCGGGGGGGACCAGGTGGGGACACAGGGAAGCAGGGGGGAGGGGCAGGAGCAGCAGCAGGAGGAGGAGGAGGAGCAGCAGGAGGAGGGGCGAAGGGTGATGGGTCGCAGGGGAAGGGAGGGGCAAGGGGAGGAGGGCGTGGGGGTGGGAGAGGGGGCCGGGGGAGTGGCGGAGGGACAGAAAATTCTGCAGTAGCAGGTGGGGGAGGGGGCGGAGGTGGAGGTGGGGGGGGAGGAGCAGGAGCAGGAGCAGGAGGAGCAGGAGGAGGAGGGAAGGGCACAGGAGCAGGCAGTGCTGCTGGGGGGGCGGGGAGTGGAGCAGCAGGCACAGGAGGGCCAGGAGGGGGTGGGCGGAGGCATGGGGGAAGGCGAGGAGGGTCAGGGGGGAAAGGAACAAGTCAGGGAGGAAGCAGTGGAGGGGACGTAGGTGGGGGTGGGGGTGGGGGAATGGGAGGTAAGGTAGATTCAGGGAAGGCTGCAACCAGCTGGGCTGCTGCTGCTGCTGCTGCATCTGGTCCTGCTCCCCCTCCTCCGTCCTCCACAGGTGCCCCTTCAGGTGCCTCTTCAGGTGCCCCATCTGCAGCTGCTTCTGCATCGTCTGCTGCACCGGGTGCGTCAGCTGGTGGGAAGAAGGCAGAGGCTGTTGCTGTAGGGGTGGCAGCTGGTGTGAAGGCAACAGGATGGGGCAGTTCGGGTTCAACTGGGGTGCCCATACCAGCTGGTGTGAAGGCGACTGCTGCATTGCAACCAGCTGCAGCGGCAACAGCAAGTGCCGCACCACCTGCCAAGCCTGCCACCCAGCCTAGACCAGGCTTGGCCGCACCTGGCCCTGCTCCTCCAGGCTCGGCAGCAGCTAGTGCTGCCTCTCCTGTTGTTCCCGCTGGTGGGTCTGGTGTGAAGAGCACAAGTGCTGGAGCGGCGGCTTCTGTTGCTGTTACTGCTGCAACTGCTGCCGCCGCCAACGCTGTTTCTGGTGCTGCCTCCTCATCAGCTTCTGTCTCTGCTCGCATTCGCGATGCACCTTCGCAAGGCGGGGTGGGAATGGGGAGGGGTGTGAGGGGCGGGATTGTCTGGGGCGGGCGTGGCAGAGGCTCGGTGGGAGGCCTGGGAGGTGGTCCGGGAGGAGGTCCGGGAGTACAAGTGAGAGGTTCGGAACGACCTCGAGAGGTTATTAATGCAACAGGAGGGGCGCTGCCTCAGTCTCTCAGACAGGACGGGGGGGTGGGAGCGCTTGGGGGAGTTGCTGGAAAAGGGGGAGCTGGCAAGGGTTGATCTCTTCTGAGCCGGAAATGAGGGTTTCTCGCTGATTGCAGGTGAGAGTGGGTTTCTGTTGTTGTCTAGGCAACTGATGGGAATTGTTACTGCTGCTGCTGCTGCATGTTCGAGGGCCAGCAGTGAGTCCGCGTTGCAAAACATTCAATACTTGACTGTACACCTCTGCCCATTAAGTGACTTAGTTCTTGCTTTTTTGTATTTATGTGATTCACTTCTGAGATGCCTCCGTTGCCTGCTTGTTTTGACATGCATGCAGGTATGTTTGATGCCTCAGAAGATTGAGAATGTCCAATGCTAATCATAATTTCTTTTGAGCCATCTGTCCACCTGGCGTGCCTTGTGTTTGTGTGTTTCACAACCACTCGAATGGTTGGTGTGAAAGATTAGATGTAACAACTTAGGACAGTAGGCTTTAACCTGAGGGAACATTTATATTCAGATTCAGGGGGCAACATTTCTTGCATTGATTATTTTTGTTCCCTTGTTGTGCAACGTCAGCCCTTCGTCAGTAGCCTTCGTCGTAGGTAGGCAGCCATTGACTTGCAGCAGTGTGGCGCGAAGGGAGCTTGAAGGTGTGATAATTTTTGGGCAGACGAAGATAAAATTTGGAGTTAGGGGGTTTCAATCGTTTAGGTGTCTGTCAAAGTTCGTTTGGTGGGAGAGGGGGCCATCACAATTTCGCCTTTTTAATGGTGTAAAAGTTTTCAAGCGGGTGTCTAGTTCGCATACACTGTTTCACCTTGTTCTGGAGCGCCACCAGCCGCGGCAGCCACAAAGTGGCCCACAATGTCGTTTTCCACGCCATGGCCCACATGCGCGCAACAGATTTCTCAATTTCGATCGGCGTGCGCCAGCTGGAAAACACGACATCGAGCTTCAACGTTCGAATCATGAGGCGGCCGTACAGCGAAGCATACCAAGCGTGTGAGTGCAATGACATTTTTTTTATCGGGCATCTAATACTGCTGACTCAACGACTATGTTTAGATGGTCAGTAATGCTCTTGGAAATACACCGCATCACAGCAACCAAACCCTGCCTGTATAGACGCCAATCTGTTCCCCTTCCTGCCCTGGTTGAAGTCAAACTGTTAGACTGTATCCACGTGCACCATACTGTACCCTTTTTATTGCGGATGTTTCTGCCTCTTGCTGCTTGGGGGCTGGGTGGGTGGGGCATGCACAGCACAGTCCAGCGGAGAATTTCGAAACATCCACCCTCCTCCATCACCATGCCAAGATGCCCCAGCCCTGCGTCTGGTGTTGCTGTGGTGGCGGTGGGCCCTTCCTCGGCCATTTCTGACCAACCACATTCCGTCATTGAGCCGCGGTGGTTGCTCATCGCTGCGCTGCGATGCGATTCACTCTTTCGACGATGCAACCCATTCCCGCGGCCCCATGCACGAGTGGGTGGCCACTCGCCAGCGGAGCGGAGCAATCTTGCTCACACTGCTTTCTGCGTTGGTCGTGTGAAACCATGGTCATTGGTCACCCTCCCCTTCCCTTCCCTTCCCACCCCCTGGCCCCACACCTTTCCCTCCTCCAGCTCATCCCCATCCTTCCCCCAATCTGCGCATCGTCCCCTTTCAACTTCTCCCCAGCCCCCACTGCTCTCATCTCCTCCGTCCCTCCCCCCCTCTCGGCTTCATCTGCGCCTGGACGCAACGCCACGGCACGCCATTTCCACCCATCGCGTCCATGAGGTTCTCTACCGCTTGTACACGATCCCACGCGATCTCCCCCTGGAGGTTGAGGCGAGGCGAACGAGGGGGGCCCGCTCGCATTCCTCAAATCCAATCCTTCGCTTTCTTCTGGATTTCGTAACCTTTTGCCTTTCCAGCTTATCCAACTCCAACCCCCATTCCCTAAGAGGGAGATTTTTGCTAGGGTAAATTCTCCCTGACACAAAACTTTTCATTTCCCAAATCCCCACCCACCACTCCCGCCGATTCCAACTCAGGCATCCCTTTCCCATTTCCTCTCCCCCCTCAACCTCCCCCGACCCCTGCTTTCCCGTGTACAGCTGTGATCAAACTGACACTTCGAAACAGGTCTCACTTCAACGCATGCCCGCGCCAACGCGACGCCTTTTCGCAGCCGCGGCTGCAACTGCAACGCATCGGCGTCAGTGTGCGTGGTGTGCGGAATGTGTGTCTGTGTTTGAAGGCAGAGTGAAACAAGCGGCATTATCATCATCCTCTCTGCATTGCTGCTTCACATTTTCGCCTCATCATCTTTCCAGCCCAGCCTCGTCCGCCATAGATTCATAGCTCGTGATCGCCTAGAACAGTACTGAAACCGTAGATTACGAGAAGCACAAGGGGCAAAGGACTTTCATATTTTTCTTCCGAGAGACACTTGCTCCATAGAATCTTTGAAAATGGACGACATTTCAGTTCCAGCGAAAAGGCGTCGCGTTGCATTTCAATCCGCGTCGCATGAATGCAGAGGCAGCAGTTCCCCGTTAGAACCCGTCGCTGCCCCTTGTTTACTCGATACAAGCACAAGCCCTTGGCCTGTGAGTTGTCTCGACCGGCCCGTGAGTTGTCTCGACCAGCCCGCGTCCGGCGGTGACTCTCGCCGCCCTCAGGGCCAAAGTGGACTTTCTTCCAAAGATTGGAACGGTGGAAAAGACGGGAAGGCTCCGCGATCTCATTTGATTGCGCAAAGTGCGACGGCGGGGTGTGCTTCCGGAGAGAGCAATGACAGCGAGCCGTTCCGCGGAGGCTTCGGTAGCGGAGTAGATGCGAACGGCGATGATTCTAACGCGGCCGCGAGGCTTGCGCTGATGGCAGTGCCGCAAGGTGAGGCCGCGCATGTGTCAACGGCGGAAGCGGAGGGAGAACAACTCGCGGAACCGCGGCTGGGGTGGGAAGAAGGGGAGGGTGCGGAGGAGGAGGGGGAGGGGAAGGGGAAGGGGGAGATAGAGGTGAAGCGGAAGGACAGGCACCGGAAGGTTGACGGGCGCGGACGGCGCATCCGCATGCCCGCGGCGTGCGCCGCGAAGATCTTCCGCCTGACGCGGGCTCTTGGCCATCGGTCGGACGGCGAGACGATTCAGGTAAAGCCCGCTGTGGGCCATCGGTAGGTAAGACCGCGGCGCGCTAGGGAGTGCTGCTTCCTTTTTTTATTTGACTAAAGGATCCGGCAACAATAATAATACTGAAAGGAAGACGCGCCGTAACGCTTCCTTCAGCTACTACTGATGCTGCGTGGCTTCTCAATAACATGACAGCTCCGCGGGAAGATGTTCGCCTGCTTGCTACCGTTCTAAAACATTACCTGTTTGTGCTCTTCGACCTGTCACTCGTGTTTAATACCACTCGAATCATGCTACCATGGTCTGAGTAAAAAGTAGCTCCTCTCCGTTATCCCCTTTCCCGTGCAGTGGCTGCTAACACGAGCGAGCCCGGCTATCCAAGCCGCGTTGAGCTCGGCATCGCAAATGGCGGCGCAAAATGCGGCGCAGCGGCACGTCGTGCAGCTCAGCGGAAAACGCGCGGAGGGCCCACCAAACGACTGCGACTGCAGGGATATTAAAATGGCGGAGAGGAAGCGAACGCGAGCCGATGATGCTGCCGCCCCTTCACTACTTACTCCCTCACAAGAAAAATCGAGCGAAATGATGATTCCACGCGGGGATTACGGATTTTCGGCCGGCGTAGAGGATTTCCCGCAGCAGCTGCCGCCGCCGCCGCCGTCCGCTGCTCCCGCGACAACAGCAGCGAATGGGCTCCGAGTCGGAATCGGCGCGCCGTGTTGTGCCAAGTTCTGCGCAGAACACTGAGTCATTGGCGCACCACAGCGCGCCGAGAGCACAAGCCCTGCTCCCCTCCGCCCTTACCTCCCTCGCAGCGCGCTTGGGCAGCGCGAGCTTCGCAGCCCAGCGAGTAGCGGCTCATGATGGAGAGACAGGCGCAGCGCGCGCCCCCGAAACAGGCGCGAGCTTTTCAATACAGGACCGCGAAATAGGCCACGTTAATGCGCCCAGTTTTAGGACCACCAGTGGCGCTGCAGGCTCTAGCACCTTGAGCCCCGCAGGCCTGCTTGCGCGTGACTCTCCCTTCACCCCGAGCGCGATAGCTGGTTCTTCGAGTGGTGTCGCTGCGGGTAGTGGTAGCACGGGTGCGGCGCAAATAGCAGGGCCGGAGAGTAGGGCCGTTGCTCCTAACTGCTTGTGGGATGTTAGTGCCGCTCATTCCGCCATGATTGCGGCTAGTTCTTACAATTTATCGCTACTAGGTCCGCCAATTCCAGCGAGCCCCGGCGCCAGCCAACGCCTACTAGAGGCCTCTCTCCTGGCCCTGGCCAGGGTAAGCGGACTTGACGGAATCCGTTTGCTGACGGAACAGTTGACGGCGGCCCAGTCGGGGATATCTGCTGCGGCCCAGCAAGATGCAGTCGCGCTGCTCCCCGCCCCATCGGACCCGCTGGCTGCGGCGGCAAGAGGCGCGACGGAGCCCGTAATCTGCGCGCCCGCGTCTGGCGACGTCGCTGTGTCAGGAATGTCGCGACAGGGGGGCGACGCGCGACTGCCGCCACAGAGAGAAAATGCTCAAATGTCGCCGCTGGGAGCGGATGTTCGAATGTGTCCGTCGGGAGCGGGTGTCCCTGTGTCGCCGTTGGGAGCGGACGCGGAGGCGCATCACCTGGAGATTCTCACCGGCGTGGTCGACGCCGCGACAGACGCGCGACGCACGGGCGTGGCGACGACTGCGCCGCATGCGCGAGTGGGAGCCTGGGTCGATCCATGTCCCCCAAGCTCTGGATTGCACGAGCTCAGCAAGCTTCCGCGGTGAGATTCCTCGCAACCTCAACTTCGGAAGTCTAATATGAGAATATGAGTCATATGAGTGCTCGTTTGGGATCGCGTACTACGTGGTGACCTTTGTTTAATCATGTTCGATGCTCGTTGTAAGGATTCTTTTTCGTCTCACCATGTCTTCGTGTTTGTACTTTCGGGTGCAGGACTCGTGACACTCAGGCTGCATCCCTAGGCAAAGCCGGCGCTCCGCCTGCCCAACCGTCCCCGTCGTGGCTGTTCAACTCGCGAACTGTGGTTGAAGATCGTTCCGCGGTGGTCGCGAGAAGCCCGCAATTCGCGGCTGCGGCTAGCAATACTGATTCGCCCTTCAAGACGCCGTCCGCGGCGCGGCTGCTGCCAGGTCCGAAACTCAGCACTGCGTGGGAGGGTCGCGAAGACGAAGGCGAGGCGGAAGTGAGGCTGGACCTGGGGCTCAGCCTGACTGGAAAACGTGGAATAAAACGCGAGTAGAATACTCCTAGTGCGGATGTGTGTACTGGTAGCTAAAACTCGCTAGCTGTGAGCGTGAGGCGCTAATCAGTTTGAACCTGAAGGCTGTGTGGGATGAAAGTGCAATCGTGATGTCAATACTAGTTCGTCGCCATTTCACATCTCTCCGATAGGATGATGTTCCACGGAGCCTGGGGTAGCTCTAGCCGATTCCTTCAATTTCATGGTTTGGAAATCGACGTCGCGAGCCAGAAATCGAGCTGCGAAAGGCGCACCCAAATGTTCGTACCCTTGAAATTGCAGAGAATGTGACAGGTCTATGGCACGTAGGCGAAATCTGGAAGAAGGGAAGAGGGGAGCGAACCGCGCACCACCAAAATGGAAGCTCCAAAAAAGATCTAACACGATAACGTGTAGAAATCACATTTGAAAGAATATGGGTGTCGCTGCTCATATCTCAGTGCTTTCTAACACAGTATAACGGGTACGTACAGTACTGGGAAATTGAAGGGAGTGAAGGGAGGAGGCGGCGCGGACGTGCGGGGGGTTTGAAGCACCTTCACAGAACAGTACCTGTCAAGAAGCCTTTCTCGTATCGGGACAACATGCCCACGTGTACGAATGCCGAAACCAGCCAGTTTCGGTTCGGCATAACCTTGGGCGGCCCGTTCTTTCTCTAGATGAATATCGAGTATCGTACGAACGGCTGAGATTTAATCCAAAACCAATGAGGGCGGGGTCCTCGCGACGCGTCCGTTTCACCGTAACGAAGGTGCAGCCCAGGGGCGAATCGCTTCGTTTGCAAGCGGAATGCGACGCGAGCTAGCATGCAAATTGCAAACTTCAAGTCGCATTTCACTTCGACCTTGTGATCGGTTTCGTACGAGGGTGAGCTAGTTATAGTTGCGTTGCGAGCCCAAGCGAAGTAGCAGCCGCAAAGATGGCGTTGGTGCTTGCTAAGGACCAAGACAGCGTAAAATGCTTGCTTCTGAGTAGTTATAGTGAACACAATATGTTATAGCTGGAATTCGCGCGATGAATGGCGGAGCGAGGGTAGCGCCCATAGGTTACGCGGCACCTGGTGGTGCCAGGTACAATAAAGGAACAGATGGCAGCGGAAAAGAGTTTTTTCGAGGCGCAGCGATGCAAAAATGGCAGGCCGCACCACTTGAAAGCAAAACCAGCTTATTCGAGGTTCACAACACCACTAACTGCGGTAACGATTTTTTCCCCGTTGTCGCCGAAACTATCCATAACCAGCACGTCGGTACCGCAGCACCCGTAAATGGCGACTCGCGAGGTCCAAATGATCGCGTACGGTACTACCGATTTCCGGACGGATTGACGATGCGCGGTAGTGGCGCGCAGTCCCCTCTCGCGACGGGGAAAGGCGCTCATGATGCCGTAGTTAAAGCCGCGTCGCTGACTTCAGCTGTGTTTCCAGCTCCCGATGCGCCAAAACTGCCGGTTTTTGCGGAAGTGGACGTGCTACAGTACGCGCAGCGGCACCGGCAGCGGCGTGACGAAGCGGGAAACGCGGCTAATCAGTCCGACTTGCGATCGCTGAGCGTGGGAATCCGGCGATACCAGCTCCCGGGGAACGGGGGAGGCCATTGCGCGGCCGCCAATGCAGCGCGTAGAATCTGCGCCGCCGCGGAAGTTGCTACGCCGACTCCGCCACCTGCCGACGTTCTGCGCGCAAACTCCGGCACTAGCTGCGCCAGACATCCCGCTGCTGCTGCTAATAGTACTGGGGGCAATAGCCGTCTAAGCCCTGGCGATTCCGCCCTCGCGGAAAGAGAGCTATCACGCGAAGGAAATGCTATTGTCGCAACAGTCGGTGAAAATGCTAGCAACAGTGGCCGGCGCGGGAGCAGCGGCGCGGCCGGCCTTCTCGGCCAGGCAGACGAAGAGGAGCGCTCCGCACCGACTACGGGATCCGGCATTGTGCCGTCTCGACGCCTGCGCGTGGTGAACTCCGCCGCAGCCGTCACTCAGTGCCGGCCAGTCAACCCTGCCGGCCGGCAGGAGGCGAAAGTCACGTGCGCCACGCGCCAGCCTCGCTCGGGAACGTACAGAACCGCGAGTTGCGCAGAAGGGAAGGCGGTAGGGCTGGTGAGGGCGGCGAAGGCGGAGACGGGGGAGCTGGGGGAAGGAATTGGGGATGTAGATGATAGTGATGGGGAAGAAGCGGAGGATGGGGGCGAGAATGATGATGACGTGGTTCTCGCAATGCCGGTCGGCATATTTCGCAGAGGACGAGTGTGCGACGCTGGCGACGAGGATGAGGACGATGGCGACGTCATCATGTGCAAGCCTGTCGCAGTTAGGGTAACTTGCTTCGCAACCCCCGTAATTCGCAGGAAGGCTTCGAGAAGTGCAGGTGGGAAACTGCCTGCGAGAGGCGCGGCGGGTGGGCGGAAGGATGCTGCGCGCGTGTCCGGGGGTGCAGCGCTGGGGCGAATAACGCGGAGGAGCACGGCAGCGGGAGCAACACTTCGTGCGGGCAGAGAAGGCTCAGATACGGGGGTGCCCAGCGCGGATGCGGTTCCTTCCGTCCTGTTGCCGCCCGCGCTGTTGCCGCCCGTGCTGGAGCCGCCCGCGCTGTTGCCGCCCGCGCGGTTGCCGCCCGCGCTGTTGCCGCCCGCGCTGTTGCCGCCCGTGCTGGTGCACAAGGGAATGGTGCTGTGCGATGGGGCGGCGGCGAGGTGTGAGGAGAAGACAAAGGGGCAGGAGGATGGCAGGGACGATGACGGGAAGGGGATAAGGAGACACGCGCTCGAAGCGGCTGCTCGGTCGGAGCGGGCTAAGCGGGTAGAAAGGGCGGAGCGGGGAGAGGGGAGGGTGCGAGGGAGGGAGGGAATGGCAGCAGAGGTGCAAAAGAGCAGTGCGGCAGCACATGAGGCGCAGAAAATTAGAACATCGGCAGCACATGTGGCGCAGGGAGAGGATGAAAAGCGAGTGGATGCTGTGAGCGCGCCGAGCCCCGCTGCTGTGAGCGCGCCGAGCCCCGCTGCTGTGAGCGCGCCGAGCCCCGCTGCTGTGAGCGCGCCGAGCCCTGCTGCGAGCGCGCCGAGCCCTGCTGTGAGCGCGCCGATCCCTGCTGCGAGCTCGCCGAGCCCTGCTGCGTTGAGCGCGCCGAGCCCTGTTGCGGTGAGTGCTCCAGAGGAGGGGAGGATTCGCGAGCAGCTGCAACGTTTTGAGTCGACTCAAAACATGAGCGCGCCGAGCCCTGCGGTGAGCGCGCCGAGCCCTGTTGCGGTGAGTGCTCCAGAGGAGGGGAGGATTCGCGAGCAGCTGCAACGCTTTGAGTCGACTCAAAACATGAGCGCGCCGAGCCCTGCGGTGAGCGCGCCGAGCCCTGTGAGAGTTATAGATGAGGGGAGGATTCGCGAGCAGTTGCAGTTGATTGCAGAGGCCGTGGCTAGGCGGGCCGGACAGGAGGAGGCGCGGAGTAGCGAGGAGGGGCGCAGTAGAGAGGAGGGGCGGATTAGAAAGAAGGTGCGGTTTAGAGAGGAGGGGTGGATTAGAGAAGAGGTGCGGATTAGAAAGGAGGTGCGGTGGATTAAAAAGGAGGGGCGGCGAATTAGAGAGGAGGGGCGGTGTAGAGAGGAGGGTGGGATTAAAGAGGAGGGGGGGAGTAGAGAGGAGGGGCGGATTAGAGAGGAGGGGCGGGTTAGAGAGGAGGGGGGGTTAAAGACCAGTTGCAGTTGACTGAAGGGGTGGAGGAAGGGGGGAATAGGCAGCAGGCTGGACCGCACACGGTGCAGCCAGACTGTGCTTCTCTCACCCGGCTGAGTGCTCATCTCGCCACGCCGAGTGCTCATCTCGCCACGCCGAGTGCTCATCTCGCCACGCCGAGTGCTCATCTCGCCACGCCGAGTGCTCATCTCGCCACGCCGAGTGCTCATCTCGCCACGCCGAGTGCTCATCTCGCCACGCCGAGTGCTCATCTCGCCACGCCGAGTGCTCATCTCGCCACGCCGAGCGCTTATCTCGCCCAACCGAGTGCTTATCTCAACGCCGTGAATGCGCTGAGCTGGCGCGATCTGTACGTGGAGTGTGACGTGGCAGACCTGTGGCAGGAGGCGCTAGGTAGCAGCCAGAGAGCCAATGGGCTTGGCCATGCCTCTGCTGCTGCTTCTGCTGCTGCCGCTGCCACTGCTGCTGCTTCTTCTGCTAGTGCGGGTATTGCTGCTGCTTCTGTTACTGCTGGTACTGCTGGGCCTGCTTCTACTGCTCTTACTCCTACGTCTGCTTCTGTTTGTCCACCTCCTACTCTTCCTCCTACTCTTCCTCCTACTCTTCGTCCTACTCTTCCTCCTGCTGCTCGTGCTGCATCCGGGACGCCATACCAAGGCTTGCATACCACGTTGCGCTACAGCCTTCCTCCAAGGCCCAAACGGCCAGGGCAAGAAGCACAGCCTGTGAGAGCAGATGGGCGAGTCAACCCAGCAAGGCCAATAAAGCAAAAGAAGCCAGTAAGGCAGATAAGACAAGGGGAAGCAATGGGGCCAGCACCACTTGTGCGCCCATGGAGACCAGACAGGGTTATGAGTTCACCTGAGGGCATTCGGCCTGCTCCTGGTTCTGCTGCGAGACGAGCCCTCACTGTCGCTGCTCTCACTGGCTCTGCTGCTGTCAGTGGCGCTGCTGCTGCCGCCAGTGCTGCTGACAGCACTGACCGTGCTGCTGCTGACACCGGTGCCCATTCGACTAGTGGCAGCGATGCCACCAGGGGAAGCAGTGAGGGCAGCACCACCGCTCAGGGTGGTGGTGGTGGTGGTGGTGGTGGTGGTGGTGGTGGTGGTGGTGGTGGTGATGCCAGTACCGGTCATAGCATCGTCATGCGTGGGCGATCTGCTGACAGTCTGAATGCTGCTCTTTCGCGGATGCGGCGCGCTGTTCAAGAAGCAGCTGCTGGGGAGGTTGTGATGCTGCGGGCAGAACGGAAACTATTGCCTGCTGCCCGAGCCACGGCTTCTCTTCCCAATTCCCAAGCAGGTGGTGGGTGCAACGAGGCCCCCGTAAAAGGTGGTTCGATATTGCATTCTCAAGTTGCAAAGAATCCGAACCAGACAACGATCGGTGCATAATCTAATTCCTAATTGTCTAACTCCATTCTCTAATTATAATCTTACCCGTTATGTGTGTTCTTCTAATTTCAGTCTGTGCTATTCAAAATCATATGCTCTTTTGATACCGTATGTTGCGAAACATCTTGTTACAACCTCGTAAGTTGACATGGAAAAAGGAACTAAGTGAAACATATGGTATCAGCTGCTGTCAACGCTTGGACTCAAAATCTGCACGCCTCCTCTCCACTCCACTCCCTCCCACACAAGCACCGCTCACCCAGCCACACCGCTCTGCACCGCATCAACACACCCCTCTCGGCCACTCTCAACCGCCTCACTTGCAGCAACCGCCACCACTCCCTCCGCTGCTCCCCGCCCTCACTCTGCCTCCCCTCCTTCCTCTCCGTCTCCTCCTTCTCCCACGCCCAACCCCCCATCGCACTCTCCTTCCTCTCCATCACCCGAGCAGCCCTCAATTCATCCACCACTGTCCACGTGCCATTTACTGCTGCACATGCAGTCCACTGAGGCTTCATTGTCCACTGTCCACGTGCATCGCTCCTTGCATTCCCACCTTTACCCCCACGGCCTTGAGGCTCCATCGTAACTCCAGCCCGTGTTCCTCCCGTTGTGGTATCAGCAGTGGTCAGTGGTCCCCCGCACATGCTATCACGCGCGCGCAGCACTGTGCTGAGCATGGCTCGCACGGTCGGTATCTCAAGCAGCTGACGGGTTGCTGCCACCTCCTCCTCGTTGCTCTCCTCTCCCTCCTCACCCTCCTCTCCAGTCTCCTCCCCATCCCCTTCTCCCTCCTCCTCTCCACCCTCCCCTCCACCCTCCTCCTCATCCTCATCCCCATTATCTTCCTCCCTCTCCACTCCCACCCTCTCTTGCTCCTCCTTGCACTCTATTTTTGAACCATGCCTCGCACCGCCTCTGTCCCTTCTCTCCCTCCCCCCTCTTCTCCTCTTCCTCCCCTTCCTCCCCTCACTCACCTCATCCGAACCCAACCCACCCTCCCCTTCATCTCCTTTCCCTGACACCTCACCATCATACCTCCTCTCCCCTCCCTGCCTCCTCCTCTTTCTCCCCTGAATAAATTTCTCACCACCATTCTGCCCCTCCTCTTTCCCTCCCACACTCTCCGCCCGCATATCTACCCCCTCCCACTCCCCCATCCCGTCCACCCACTCCTCCACCATCCCTGCCAGCTCAGCAGCCCCCATCCCAGCCCAATCCGCGTCACCCTCCCTCTCTGCCATGCTGGCGTCCACCGTGGCAGCTGCCACGTCATCCAGCCCCGCCAATCGCAGAAGCAGCAGCAGCTCCAGCTGCGGCCGCCCGTCAGCAGATATTTCAAAATATCTCTCCCCTTGTGACTCTAACGGGGGGCACCCAGCCCTCTCTAGCAGCTTCACAGCCCACCGCAAACGCCGCGAGGAGCAAGTGGAAGAGAAGGTAGTATCGTCATCTGCAATCTTTGCCGCCCGGGAAGTTGCTGAACCCCTGCGATGTGATTGGCTGGATTCTTGCCTTGTATCTGCAGAACCCACTCCTGAATTCGCTCTCCCTCCTCTCCTGCTGGCCTGTGATTGGTCGAGGCTGAGCCCGTTTATAATCACATTCAGGTCCACATTAACCAGATCAAACGGGTTGTACTGTAGATTGCAAATACACTCCAACTGCTCCTCTTCTTCTCCATAGTTAGGTCCTCCCTTGCCGAGCCTGACTGGCAGCTCCTCCGTTCCGCCCTTAGCTTTGGCGCCACCAAAGCTGAGAGGCTCGGTGAAGCCGTACCGGAGCAGAAGAGCTGCCGTGCTGAGCTGGCCGTATGTGTTAAACACCTCGTCCCCAGGCCCCTCCCTCCGCACCATGATCATCTCTAGCTGCTCGCTTGAATTCTCCCTTTCCCCTTCCTTATCAGATGACCCCTCCTCTCTCTCCTTCTCCCTCCCTCTCCCTCTCACCCCGTTCTTCTCATCCCCTTCACCCCTCCCTTTTTTCCTCCTCTCCTCGCCCCCCACCTCCTCACCCTCTTCATCACCCTCTTCCTCACTCCCCTCTTCCTCACTCTCCTCAGCATCGCTCTCCTCTCCATCACTCTCCTCGTCGTTGAGTGTGAAGTGCACTGATTCGCTTGCCGTGCGATGGTTGAACCTGCAGAGGGAACGCGGAGGTAGGAGAGGGGAGGGTGAACGGGGCATGTACAAGTGTGCATGGTGGAGGGCACGTGGCATGGCACATGGTAATTCATTCTGCATGCTGTCATAAGCTTGACCACTCTTACAGGTCAGCCAGAGGAACCATGCCGTGCCCGTGCCAGCTATCGATTGCAAAGGCTCGCGAGGAGATGAGCGACTTGACCGCCAGGTAGGCATCCCATGACAGCTGATGTGGCAGCTGATGTGGCAGCTGCTGACTGGTCAACGACAGCTGCTCTGCTAGCATCTTCTCGTGTGGGTGTTGACTGTTTGGACCATTTGGCAGGTTTGGGGATGGTGGGAGGAGGTGGAGGAGGTGGGGTGGCAGGGAGAGGAGGAAGGGCAGAAGGTGGTGCTTCCACTCCCCACGCATGCTCACTAGATCGCTGGGAACAGCCTGTGTTGGGGAGGAGGGAGGGTTGGTGGAGAGCGGTGGGGTGAGGTGAAGCGGGGAAGGAGGTGAGTTATTGCTGACGGGGTGGAGAGAATAGGAGAGGAGGAGCGGCAGATGAGGAGGAAAAAGGGAGGGGTTGGGAGACAGGGAAAAGGAAAGGAACTGGAGTAGCAACGGGAGGTGCTATCCTTTCTTGCAAGTACCTGCTCGATTTCTGTACCCTTTAGAAGCTCCTTCGCTTTCCGCTTCCCCCACAGCACCGGCACGTCCTCTCTCTCCGGCATCTGTCCAAAATACGCCGCCCATCGGGATCTCGCCCCCAGGGCCCTCTCAAATAGCACTGCTGCCACCAGCGCTGCACTGCTCAACTCCCCCTGCCCCTTCCCCCCCTCCCTTGCGCCCTCTCTTGACTCCCCCTCCCCCCACTCCCCATCCGTCTCCCCCTCCCCCTCCCTGTCATTCCCCACAACCGCGTTCCTTTCCCCCGCGCTCTCCCCTCTCCCTTGCCCGTCCCCATTTCTCTCCGCGTCTTTCTGCCTGTCTCTCTCCCCCACGCACAGATTCTCAACCCCTGATCCCCCCTCCGCTTCCTCCCCCTCCCCATCTTCGTCCGACTCCTCTTCCCCCTCCTCTGACCCTTCCCCTTCCCCTTCCGCCTCCCCCTCTGCTTGGAAGTACGGGGAGGCGGAGAGGTAGGGCGCAAGCAGGGAGGTGCGCGGAGTTAGGCAGGCGGACTTGGGGATGGTCGCAACAGATGCGCCAAGGGGGAGAGGCGCGCGCGCAAACACCCCCACGGGGAGCGGACCAGGCCGGGGAAAGGCGGAGGAACTGGGGGCGGCGGAAGGAGAGGTGCGGGAGGGACGGGCGCGTGCGCCGTGGCGGAGTGTGGGCGGGGGAGGAGGAGGGCAGGTGAGGAGGAAGGCGAGCTTTTCTGACCATTGGATCTTGGCCTCGTCGCGCATCCACCGTTCAAACGCGCGGAACGTGCGGCTGGGGGAGGAGGGCGGGCAGGCAGAAGCAGCAGCAGGAATGCAAAATCACTTCATGTTCAGGGGACAGGGTTTGGGGTTGGAAGGTATGAGATTTTGTAGAGCCAAACGCGTTGGATGCCATTGCATTGCCACGCAAAGGAAATCAAGCGTAATAATCTTAATAAACACTGTGGGGATCCTGCTAAATTGCCACTCCGCGCCCACATTCCCATTCAAATGGCTACCATACCTTCCTCTTCTACCCCCCCTTCCGAGCCTCTCCGCATCTATCGCATGTGGCTGACCTTTCTGCGGCGGGTCGAAGCGGCGGCCGCACGAGAGCCGGGGGAAGTATCGCGCTTTTCTCCCCGGATTTGCGCTTTCTGCGGCGCGCTTGCGCTGCAGGCGCGTCGGCTGAGAGGCGACGCTTTCGCGATCGTGTGGTGGGCATGGTGGCGAGTGGGGCAAATATCGGAGCGAAGTTGATCGTGGGGCGAATTGTTGAAAATCGTACGCGTCGTACTCTTTGACTCGTTACCCAAGTGAAAATCGACATAAGATCGTTATTGAACAGCCCTTAATTCTTTATGAAAGAAACAAAGATGGCACAAGCAGTGCCTATTCAGCTAGCCTCCATCACCCCTCGCATGTTACCACATCAGTCAATCTAGGCCATGCAGGTAAGGGCAAACCCCCTAGTAATTCACCAGCACCCTTCACCCACCAACTCATCTAAGGGTACATTCCTGTGTAGACACATGTGTCTCAATGCACATTTTCCCGAGTCGCGCCTGCAAATTTACAATTTCACGCGTCACAAACAGCTGATGTATCGCGACTCTGTGCGACAGAGATCAGGTTACAGATGGCCGAATTTGACTGGCCCACAACATATTGATACGGTTCGGATGTTTTGGACCCATGATGCCCCTAAACAAACTCCAAACAGCCAAAACACGAAGAACCTACTCGAATGCAGAACGATGCAGCACGCAGCAAGTACAAATCACTACGTAGCATCATGAGCAACATCTTCCTTCATCCCATTTCCACTGCACCCTTCTTCTCTAGCCCAAGGGTGCAACCATGGCAGAGCCTCGTGCTATGCCATTTCTCCTGCGGCTCTTGGTGGCTTGGATCACATTCTACTACTCCATCTTCATGGACGCAGTAGGTCGTGCTGTCGGCAGCATGCTTGAAAGCGAGGTCCTCGGCAGCGACGAATCAACGGCCGAGAGCTCACAGGGGTCCAATAGGACTGCCGAGCGTGCAAGGAGGGCACGCCTGCGGCGGCAGCGATACAATCTGCTGGGGGAAGACCTGCAGGGGATGGGGGACAGGGAGTTCAGAGATCTCTTCAGGATCAACCGGGAGATTCTAGCATACGTCGTGGCAGGCATGGCATACTACATGGTACCATACGTTGAACGACATTTCATCACGCACGAGATTGCCAACTTGGTCGCGATCAAGTACCTGGCTAGTGGCATGGCGTACGTGGACCTCTCCCACTTCTTCGGCATAACGAAAACCCTCTGTCACGCCCTCGTCGATGTGTGGCTGATGCATTTCCCGAGCGTCTTCAAGCAGCAGTGGGTGCACTTTCCAACCGCCGACGATCTGGCAGAGATGTCCGAAGAATTCCGCGCCGTCAAGGGGGTACCTGCTGTCGTGGGGGCTATCGACGGCACGCACATCCACATGAAAGGGATGGAAGGGCATAGGCAGGAGTACTACACGAGGAAAGCGGCATACGCCGTTCAGTTGCAACTCACATGCGATGCGCGCGGGATAATCTGGGATTACCTGATTGGGTACCCGGGAAGTGCACACGATCAAAGGGTGTTCATGAATAGTGCACTACAAGAAAGGTTGCAAAACGGCGACATAGCGCCTTATCAAATCGTGGGAGACGCAGCCTACCCACTCAGAGATTTCTGCCTCACCCCCCTACATGCTCCCCGTGAGGGCCTAATGGAAGACTGGGCGCAGTGCTTCAACTACTGTCAAAGCGCTACGCGCATGGCAGTAGAGCGCTGCATCGGAGCCTTCAAGGGCAGATGGCGGCTATTCGCGGGGCGCAACGACTGCCAGCTGTGGCGCGTGCTGGCGGGCGCCTCCTGCTGCGTGATCCCGCACAATATGTGTGAGACGATGGGGCGGGTGAGACGCACTAACGAAGTGTGGGCCTCACTGCCGCGGAACCGAGACCCATGGTGGACAAGGGGCGCGGCAGCGGACTTCACGTGGGAGCCCTGTGTGCCACTGAACCAGGCTACGCTCAAGGATAGGCGCAAGCGGCTGGGGGAGGCGCTGGAGTCGTCTTACCTTACTCGGCGTCGCCGCGAACCCACACCTCCGCGGCCTCATCAGGGCTAGCGGCCGCGTCGCCACTCTGCCCGCGACGGAACCATCCGTCGTCGCCACCATCGGTGGCGTTCGCGGCCGTCTGGGCGGGAGCGTCGGGCGGTGTGCCGTAACGGGCAGGCGGAGCAGGCGCCGTCTGCTGGAGACGTTCACGTGCTATACGCTCATCCTGCTCCATCCAGGCGCGGACAAGCCCTTCGAGCTTGCTCATAGCGTCCTGGTGGCAGTCCTTGATCGTCTCACAGACGAGCTTGGCGGCCGCCATAGTTGCCGTCTCTATCACGCGCGGGCGCTTCGACGGAGGGGTGCACTGCGGGGGTGTGGCTGAACACGCACGAATAGTACTGGGTGGGTGGTGTGCCTGCGTGTGTGCGGTGTTTGGTAACGTCGAACGATGTAATATTTCGTCCCGCACAAAGTGTACCTGGACGTCTCACACAAAACTGTAGACCCTAAAAATACATGTGCAGCCATGTGAGCCTTCAGGGAAAGGAAAGTCAAGTATACCAGTGAACGTCGGAGTAGTCGTCGTAGGCGCCGATGTAGAGGGCACGTTGAAGCCACACGGCGCGTCAACGTTCGTCGCGCCTCCTGCAGCCACGGCATGCGGGTTAGCAACTGCCCGGTTGTTGAGGAGCAACTCCATGTACGGGTACCACGGGGGCTTGCACACGGTCCCCTTGCCCGACGCCTTCTCCGCCTTCTTCAACTGCTTGTAGAATTGCACGAGGTTGCGCCACTGTTTCTGCACGGCGTGGACGCCGCGAACCCACCCCGGGTTCTCCTTCTCGAGATGGTGCACAAGGCGCGCCCAGTACTGCGAGCCCTGCTTCCCGAGCAGGGGCTCCAGTTCGTCCTTCATGAACCATCGGGCCGCGACGAAGATCGTGTTCTCGAGCGGAGACCAAACGCTGCGTTTCACAGGCACCTGCGTGCGGGTCTTTGGGCCGCGGCGTGGAGGCTCGTCGCCCTTAGACGCGGCGGTAGCAGGGGCAGCGGACTTAGCACGACTTGCACGCGTAGCGGGAGCGGAGGGCTGCGTCTCCTCTGGCGCCTCAGCCTCGTCCTCGGACTCGTCCTCCGAATCGGACATACCCTTGTCCGGCTCCTCGCCTGAGTCCGCCTCGTCATCGGTGGCGACGGCGAAGTCGTGGTAGTCGCTGTCGTCATCCTCTTCATCGTCCAGCGGGGTATCGTCGACGACGCGTGAGGACGCAACCCCGTCGGCGTCACGACGGCCGCGCGTGGGGACGTCACGCGGCGCTTCGTACGAGGTGGCTCCGGGAGACGGTACACCTTCAGGCAGCGGGCCTGCAGGCTTGCGACCGGATGCAATTTGCTTGTTGATCCACGCGATGTACGGGATCTTGTTGAGATCCCGCGGGACGTCGGTTGCAGCGTCAGCTCCAGACTTGCGCTTCCTAGCCATGGCTCCCTTAGGAAGGGATAGCAGAGATACGGGAGAGAACGGAGGTGTCCAGATCTGGAGAAGGAATGTGAAGGAGGATGAGGTGGGTGAGCTCGTGGAATGGTCTAGCAGGTGGGGTTTCGATTGCGGGCAGGAATAGTTTGCCTGCTGTGTAGGAAACCTTCGATCAGATACACGGGCAGCGCGGAA